GAATGGATGATTAGCATTCTTGATTTGTGCAGAATCTTTCTGATATACTGAATTTAGTGGTGGGAATTGACAGGTAATATGAAAGCAGGTGTATTGGGAGGCAGTTTTTGGAAACAAGACAAGCAGGACTGGAGAGATATGCAGATCTTGATGAATTAGGGGTTAAACTCAGGACTTTGGGCAACCTCACTCCTGTGTTTTCAGGCTCTGCACTCCTATGTTACAATAAAAAAAACACACAACAAACACAAAACCAAACCAAACAAAAAAACCCAAAAACTCTCTCTGGTTTGGAAGAAGGCAATCAGTGCCTTTGTCATTACTTCAAAAAGCTGCTTCAATTTAATGTCAGCATTGCCAATTTTCAATGCAGCACATCTGCAGCTTATGGCTATCACGCATGCTGAAAGGCAACTGATATTTTAGAGATCCTCATGTGAATAGGAGGAAGAACTGCATGTCTGAATATTACCACATAGCACTGCTCTGATACTGTGATAGTGGGTCAATTATTTCTCATATTCTGAACTCAATATTTTTGCATACCAATCATGTGAAAAGGAGGTGGTTTTGAATTTGACCAAGAATGCTGTATGTTTCCCACAAAAGCAATTAGTTTGATTAGAAGTAAGGTATTCAACAGTGCTGTGTCTGTGAAGCATATTGCATTATTCTCCCATATAAACTGGGTCTGAATTAATACAAAGATCTTTAATTTACTTATTTAAATACTTCTAGGTAAACAGTAAGGGGACTGCTTGCCCTTGCCAGTAAAGCGCATACACTATCAGGGAAGAAAAAAAATCTTTCTTGCTTTACTCCTCCCTTGCTGGCTTGACTGCATGGGCCACAACAGTGCATGCTGCTCTGCTTTTTTGCCAACGTACCTCTGATTTGGGGATACCTGGAGGGCAGGTGTCAGCATGATTGTTGTTTTTTTCTTGGTGAGGTTTCACATTGTGTTAATTTGACCTTTAAGAGACAAACTGAACATGCTGGAGAACTTCTTTGTGTGCTTGCATTCAGGTACATTTAAAAAAATGTTCATGTTCGGGGAGCATTTGCAACAAAGTTCCTCCAATCAATTTCTATTAATGTCTGAGTATGTTGGCTTCAGTAGCTGAAATCCAGGGGTTTTTCTCCTCCCCACCATCTCCTTTGGTTCCCTCACAATAAGGAGGAGAAGAAAAAGGAACATCAGAAGAATTTCCCAAATTGAGCAACTCCCAGTTATAATTTTCCAGAGCTGCTTGGTTTCAGAGAACAAAATGCACTGAAAACTATTTTATTACAAATACCCTGTATGGTCTTTGCTGCCAGATAACAAAATACCTGACCCCACTATATGCATGTTAGGGGCACCAAAATGGTGGTTCCTTACCAACAGCTTGTATTACTTATTAAACAACTTGCATTTGCAAATTTTTTAAAGTATTAACATAACTTTTGCTTGTACTTGTACCTGCCCTGGCAGATGCTTAGGCATTGCTCACTGCCTGAGTTTACTAGGCAGCAGAACCTTTGCTCAAAAGTTGGTCAGTGCTGTCCACAGATTTTACAAGAAGGGTGACAAGTGGTGCTTGGGATCCATGGGCCATGTGTTGGTTGCAGCCTATTGCAGTTATAAAGCACATTTATTAAGGCATCACAGTATCTCTGAAGTGACATTAATACCTGTAGATACAAACTGGTCCTAGTGTGCTGTGTACAGTCATTAGTTGAGCTTTTTGCCCCAGCTGTTTTTTATAGCCAGCTGCATTTTTATTCCCTGTTTAAGCATAGCATGGACAACTGTCCAATACCAGTACATGCAATGAGGCTGTAAAATACTGTGCATGCAGGAGTTATATGGGTTTTGATCCAGCAAATCCTTGCTACTTGTAGAGATGTTTTGCAGACTTAGTGCCATAAGAGCTGATTCAAGGTTTTGAAATACCTGGGAATCCCCCAATGGTACCTCCAGGAGTACCCCAAACTGGATTTGGTGTCACAAGCATGGAAGCATCAACTGACACAGGAGGAGTTCAGCAGCTACTGTTGCTCAATAGAGTTGCAGGATTGTACCTCCACTAGGGCAAAGAATATATCTTGATCTATTTATTAAATATTGTGTAAATTTTGGTCATTCTGCATAAGTTTAGCAACAGACAACATCAGTGATAAACCATCATATAAATATCCAATCAGTGGACACAGCAGAATAAAGGCTTTTTTATTTCAGACTTTTTCCTGTTGGAATGAATTTATTTCCATTTACGGAAAAAAAATCATAATAAAAGGAGATTCAGCATATCCTTAATTATCACCTCATTTTTGACCTCCAAAAAGAAAGGGAAACAACAAGGAAAAAAAACCCCACTGTATTATTATCATAAGAGAATATATGCAGCAGATCAAGTTCTATATGTCTCTGGGAAAAATGCATCAGCAATACATTTATTAATAATCTGTTGAAGTTATCTTCAGTGTAAAATTTCTTAATATATTTCAGGAGGAAAACCTGGTCTATGGAGAAACCAATGGCAAAACCGCCACTAAGATTGCTAGGGTGGGGTTTCTCTGTTGTACAGGTTTGTTTGAATTTAATTAAACATATGCAGAAACTAAGCTTTACTGGAAGTCCAAAATGGGAAAAACAGTGAAATAGTCATCTACGGGGGAAATGGCCCCAATTTTAACCATTAAAAAGCAGCTACCATCCGAGAAGTTCAGAGACAGCAGGCTGTGCTGTTAGCTTTGTTTTTAATGTGGTAGCCTTTGTACTGTAGACAGAGATTCTCAGGAAGGAACTAGGGTATTTGAGCTTAATTTTCTTAATCAGAAAGGTTAGGAATTGATCTAAAACTATGTCTACTGAAGCATCTTTAACACTGACAGAATGCATTTAGCTCAGTGTCAGCTTCCCAGTTAGCTTCTTTGCAGATACTGTGTCACTGATGGTGAATATATAGGATGGTTCAGTGCATATTCCAACCCAATGGAGTTCTAACTGCTTCCATTGTGAAATTGCGTGCATGCAGGTTGGGCTTCACTAAGACTTCCTTCACTGGTTTTACCCTGCAGGGATCAGTAGGAGATACCTATACCCATGCTTGGAAATACTTTAAGATCAATTTAGTGACCCTGAACATCAGCTTTATGCTCATGTTCAGGCTTAGTTGATAGAAAGGTTGTCTTGGGAGGAGGAAGAGGTGATAGGGGCAGACCCTTTGCTTCCTCTGAATCTTCATGATTTTAACAGTCAGGTTACAATTGTACAGAAATAATTTTGATACCGAGAACAAGAGAAAAAGTTGTTAATGTGCTTTTTAAGTATTAACTACCTGAAACCAGTTGCTTGATGCTGCTACCACTTCAAGGGATCAAAAATGAGAAAAAAATAAAATAAAATGAAAGGGTGGGAAAATATTTCTCTTTATTCCTTGCAGATTGCTTACTCTGTGGATGGAAAAGCATTTTGTTCTCATGTTCAGGGCTGTGCCTGAAGGCCTAGACTGGATTGCTAGAATCTATAAGAGCTTTTAATTTATTATTTTTTAATCATACCTTACCTAATCAGAAATCTGCTTGTCCAACAGTGTAATAACGATTAGAAATATGGGTTATATTAGGAAATAGAGGAAGGATTTTTGTTGCTGGTTACACAGGATGCTTACCCTAAAATCTAAGTGCAGACAGGATCCTTGTTTACCTATTCAATAAGATCACTTCTAGTTGCAGGGCTGGCATGATTCTGAGGCTTATTTCGAGAGGTTGCACCATCCTTCTTTGGGGAAGGGCTGTATGTTATAGTAGAGAAGAAGCAAACATGGCTTAGAGACCTGTGTTTAGCTGCCAGGTCTGCCAGTATGTCACTCAGTCACTCTGCATTGAGTCTTTGTTTTTATCACAAATAATCCCCTCACAGGGCTGTGTGAAAATAATGCAACTCAAGTTCATAATCAGTACTTAAATAATATGGCACAATTCTGTTTTGTTCAAGGGGGTTTTTTTACTTCTTTAGTAGGTAGTTACCCCAGTTGTATAGAATTTAGATAGCCAGCATGTTTCTTTAAATTGTACCTTGCCTTTAGTTACTTGTAGTATTTACTGATGTGCCTATACACTGGAGTTCTTGTGGCTCCCAGGGTGTCTGCTGCTCAATGGAAAACCTCTGGGGCCCATCAGAGAGCTTTAAGGCTGCCTGCCATGGAGCCAGGAGATATCTAAGCATGTCTGTGTTCCATATTGGCTTAGCTTGAGGTGCTATACACTCAAGTGTCTGTCTTACCTGTGGAAGAAATACGGAAGCTTGGGGAGTCCAAGGGCTTTAGAGTTCTAAAGGTCTCAGTTCAGCTGGGATTTCTTATCTGTTCCTGGACCTTCCAGATAACAAGCTGTTGGACAACAGATGACCAGGGCTTATGGGCTCATATCTATGCTACTAAGAAATACAGGAAAATATTTTACAATATTTGTTTTTTAGATTTTGAACCTGAATAAAAGTTTGATTATTTTTGTTTTCCAAAAAAATCAAACAATATTTTCTACCAGAACTTTGGAATATCCTGCAGAATAGGAATTTTTCTCTTGATCTGCTCTGGTGCAGCTTTATCTAAATGCAAGAAGGACCTGTTGTCCTGAGATGAAAGCCTTTTCAGTCCAATTCAAACTGAGATTCAGGGAGGTCAATGTCATTGCAACTGAAGCTTATTAGGAAAAAGAAGCGGTGAGAGGAAACCTTTTTGGGATTTGAACAATACAGAACCGGATGCAATGCTTGAAAGAAAATACCTTGGTTTTTATCCCCTCTTCTTGAGTAATGTTGTTCAGTGTTCTGAACTGCATTATTTCTTATCCTTTAGACTGGAAAAAGTCTAAATTCTCATACAGAGCTGTTAATTACAATTGACATAATCTTGCTGCCATAAACCATAAGCTATTTTCTTACTGATTAAGGTATTATGTGTTTTTCAACCTGCAGGAAACGTTACTTTCCTTTGTTCATTATCTCCTGCAAGATGATGAGTTCTAATCAGGAGGAGGTCACTTTGGGCGCTTTTCTCCAGTATATTGAAGATATGGGGATGAAGGCCTATGATGGCTTGGTTATACAGAATGCATCAGACATTGCTCGAGAGAATGATCGCATGAGGAATGAAACAAACCTGGCTTACTTGAAAGAAAAGAGTGAAAAACGCCGAAAACAAGAGGAAGCAATAAAACGGTAAATATTTTGATAAAAAGTTGAGTGGTCTGGCAGAGTGAATGAACAGTGAAGAGTTCAGTCTCCCTGGCAGTATTTAAAAGAAAGATAGATATAGTGCTTAGTGATGTGATTTAAGCACTGAACAGGCAAATGAGGTTTTGGTAGGGGGATTTAGGTTATAGTTAGATTTGATGATCTTCAAGGTCCCTTCTGACCTGGATGACTCTATGATATGATAAATATATGTAGACCAGTTCATTTCTAAGCAGCTTGCTGGTAAGAGCAATACAGACCATTGGCTCATGTTAGGCTGCTAACTGCCCATGTTTTACATTGTGTAGATGTGATGCTGAATGGTTCTGCCTCCCTCATTGGAAGAGAGTAATTCCATCCAAATGTATTCAGTTTGAGCATGTGTGGCATCTGCAGCAGGTTTGATTTGTAACAAAAAGTTTAGGTGTTTGGAATAGGAGATGTAGATCAAATGGGAAACAGGCTCTCATCCACTCAGTGGTTTTAGATGGACAGTGTGTACTTTGTGCAAAGATTTCTTTGTGTAGGATATTGGTGTGTGAGCTCTTGCAAGACAGGGATGGCCTCACAGGTCTGAAGAGACTCTCCTTGAACTGATATTTTAAATCTGGTTAATTGTTAAAAAATCTCCAATTGCTGTCTGAGGTGTTTGGTTTTTTAAAAAAGTCTGTTATTTATTATTTCCTCACCATTCTGCATGCTCTGAAGTGAGCAAAAATCTTGCAACAGTTTAAAGGAAAATGGATCAAGCCCCTGATGGGCAGAATCCTGCAATGGCTCTTCTTGAATAATTCCAGTGGTTTTAATTGACAGTTAATGAGAGGAGCACTTGTATGACCTGGCCTCTTGTGCCAGTGGATAGCAGTGAAATCTCTGCCACCTCCTGGAGAGGAAAAGAAGGGTTAACAAGGTAGATATAAGTGTTTACTGTATACCACTTGCATTTTAAAACATTGCATTATCTTGAAGAGAGGGACAAATTGTGTAACACAGGTAAATTATCCATCCAAACGCTACACTATTGTATGCATATGGATGGCTCAAGCATAAACTAATTGGAGGTCCTTTGAATTTTTTCTCCCAGTGTGAATCTTCTGTATTTCAGTTTAAGTGATTAAATTTTATTTGATGCCTTGGGTACTGTACATCCAGGTATAACAGACATGCTGTGCTGTGAATGTTCCAGCAATGGCTCTCTAGTCTGGTAATTTTGATGGAATTTTTAAAGCAAAAGAGCATCATATACAGTTTGACAGAGGAGGGAGAAGAAGCAATGTAAAACAATATTATGGCTGCTTCATGTTTCAGAAAGCAGCAATGTTTGGATTGTCACTAATTTGGGGGGTGGGACTAATGTGAAATTAAGGTGAATAATAAGATCCTATGCAATGTGTGTTTTAGTACCTTCTGGATTATTGTGTTGTCAGATCAACTTCTGGATTATGTTTAGGGAGATTCAAGCTATTGGGGGGAGTCAAAGGTATAGGTTACTTGAGCAGAAGCTCTATATACTGTGCACAACTTCATGAGATAAAGTGTTTTTCTTTGCAGCAGAATGATATAGGAGGTTGTTTGTTTTGATTTATGCTCGATAAACATTTTGTTTCATTCTTGCCATCTTTGAGTGTTCACCTCTCTCTTTTGATTACTGAATAGCTGAACTGCAAAATTTTCAAGAGGAAAGGGTAGGGACACCCACCCCAAAATATTTCTTAATATGATGGAGAGGGAAGTTAAGTTCTAATTACAAGTAGTAGAGGAAAGATTTCAATCTGTCTCACTATGTAAGCACATACATAAGTGATAGTCAATAAAGTGCTGTTTTAAAGAAGTGAGATGAAGACTACTTTCTCATCTTACATATTTTGTTTTTCCCAACTGAGGAAAAGAAAAATAATTAAACAAAAATTATTATTTTTTAAAATGTAGTTATTGCAACTTCACTATTTTATTAATTTAGAATTGGCTGGAAAAATAAATTCCCAGTTCTTGTAGTGATTTCTTCATTTGATGATAAGCTGTGTTAAACTGTCAATGTATACAGATGTAATAATAATATAGTGTTCAACATTGACAGCTAATTAGACTGTGCTCTGGCTAAACTGTTTACATGCACTTTAGTATGTGCCACCATAAAGGTCACTAAGTGCCAGAACAGGTTTTGTTATGAATCAGTTTCTTGAGGCATGAGAGAAGAAGATGTGGAACTACCTTCTTTATAGTTGTCTAGCTAACCTTCTCTACCTAATTTGAATGGTGGTAAAAATATTTTCTGCCTTGTGGTTGGTTTGTGTGGTTTTATTTATTGATCCTGGCAAAATGATTTGATGAAATCTCTGGATAAGTGCAGATGACTTACAGCTGTGCCTAACCATGAAATTCTGGCTCATGCTAAACTGAGATCACCGAGAACAGTGCTGTGCTTCCCAGATAAAGAGTCAGAAGACACAAGGAATATTACCAGCAATATAGTGAGTTATCAGAGGAAAAGCATGTGTATGTACATGGATTGGAGCCCTCAGCATTTCTCGGCTATAGTGCTCCTCTGTGGGAAACTGTGTTTGGGGTGGTTTCCTCCCTTTGCACTTGGCTTTTCTCTCAGTAACATTGAGGGAGCAAGTTATATCTGTCTAAGGAAACAAAGTAGAAAAAAAACCACCAGGAAATCTTGGAAAATGCTGCCTTCAATTATTTTCCTGTCTTTTTCCTTTGTAAAGTAGCACAGAGCAAATGCGATATCTGTGATCAACTCTTGATTAGGAAAACTAAAAGCAATGGCAGACCGAGGGAAGACATCTGATTTGACTAAAAGAGCCATGATGTCTGAAGTCACTTAGACTGATTGAAATTGAGTCTGGTTCCTTTCGTATCCTCCAGAGATTAGTCCAAGACCATGTTTTGTATTGAAACAAAGCAGACAGGAAAGGTAAAATAGGATTATCGATTTCTTCTTTGTTCTGTACTATTTTCTTTGCCTTATCTTGGTGGGTATTTATATTAAGCCTAATTCCTGATAGTGTGGCCTAGATAGCAAGTGGTGCACATGTGCAGTGATAACAGTCCTGCCAGTCTGGAGACTGCCAACAGCTGAAAACAATCTCCTTAGCAACAAGGGAGTCATCCCTTGTGATTAACTGCAGGTAGATTTTGAGCATGAAAGGGGGTTCCAGCAAGCACTCTCCTTTTGCTTGTGGGAATCTAAATAAAGCAACTGTAAGTCTTTGACATCTTCTGAAAATTACCTAATTGCCAATTATTGAATTTTTGAGAAGCTCTTCTATTTTAGTGTTCATATTATTTCTTTTAGAAGAAGGCTCATCATGTATATTAGCAACATAATAATGAGTAACTTATTACATAATAAACGGTGGTATTCACACACAACACTATTTGGAAGCAGCTGTTATTTATCTAAATAATCTCATAACCACGCTGAATGACTTAAAAGTTCATTGAAATGCATTAGTCTGAGCAGTTTGGAAACAAGATCTGAAAAATGACCTTAAACAAAAAGATGTTTGATTGCAGGTTTTGCCTTCCTAAGGATATATTGTGTTGTGTCTCTTCAGTACCACTGGTGTACCTTCAGTGTGATTGCAACCTCATCGTGTATGGTTCTGATAGGTTAATTGTGGGGGAAAATGTATAGATCTATGGTAGATCACAAGGGATAAAACAGATTGTATTGGATTAAAAAAAAAAAAAAAAAAAAAAGCAACTAGTCTCTTTGTCTGATCTTGCTGGGCTGAGTCAGCTGATCTGAATTTCTGACCTAATTTTAGTATGGTACTTAGTGATCACGAAGAGAAAATAAGGTTAATGTGCTTATCAGTAGCAGAGTAAGCCACAATAAATATGCTAGTACATATCTATATATTTGGCCTAATTTTTAGACCTCTTCCTTCTTTCATTTGTCGGGTCTCGCTACTTGATCATTCACTACTTGTCTGTTCAGGCGGCTGTGTCCAGACAAAGAAAACATACTGGCATATTGCCCACAGAGCTTATAAATTGCAAATAAAGTTATAAAGCAGTATCATTTTCACTGGCAATAAAGTTGCAGTACTGTGAGATGTACATTGCCATGATACAGTATCTGCCATAGGCAGCTTTTCTGGGAACAGAAGGTAGGTTTGCCGCAGCTGTTAAGGGTGCCAGGGAAAAGGTGAGTATTTGGAATTTACGTGGGGCATCTGTTAGAAAGAACAGTTGCTTTCTGACTCATCTGTAAGTGACTTATATTTAGATATTTTATCTCTATTATAGGTAGTGTTGTGTGGATACTTGACCAGTGTTGTTTTTATATGGTATAAATATAAAATCTTGGTAGGAAATAACCCTCCTCCTCCTCTGAAGGCTGAGGCATGTTGCATTAATCATAGGGTGTGGCTGGGTTTGTACAGTTTCACAAGAGATGTATGCTTTAAAAGTTTTGGCTTCTAGTTTTAAGGTGTCATTTAATTTACTGTTTCTATCAGGAATGTTGTAATTTTTATTTGTAACACTATGAAGAGATGAGTGCTATGGTGTAAAGCTGATGGTGTTAGTGGGAATTAACTTCTACCTGCTAAACCCTGAACTTACCCATCAAAATATTAATTTCTACTTTCAGTAGTTTCCCTTACTTGTGGCTCATTCCCAACACCCAAACTGCTCTGTGGAAAGCTTTGTTTCTGCTTGTGGAGGGAAGTGCCCAGACAGATATTGTTAAGAGGAGGAGCTTTTAGGAGCACTGTTCTGTACTAAAGCTAGCAGAAATGGGCCAGCCAGCCAGTGGCTGAGTTAAGCTCTTGTAATAAACAAGGAATTGTGATGAACAGCTGTCCTCCTAACCTCTTCTTCCTTTGGCAAATCAAATATTGAAGACTAACGCACCGCCAAAAGTAAGATCATATTTTTCTTTTCTCTATTTTTTTTAAGGTTATGGAAAATATGGAATTTAGGTATTATCTGTCTGTAGTTTTCTGTTCTTAGGTTTCTTCATA